ACCTGGTGCCGGCGGGGCATGCGGCGCGAGATGAGCTGGAGCGGCTCTGCAGCAGCAGCCTGACCCGCCGCCACCTCCCCCCCTCCTGCCTGCGCAGGTACGTCAAGCTGCGCGGCTTCCCTGCCACCGTCACCAAGGCAGACATGGTGGCATTCCTCAAGGTGGGGGGCGCTGCTGTGCCTGCTGGGCTCCCCATGCACACCCCGCCTCATCGCGCGGCAGCTCCCCGCCCATGGTTGGCCACTTGCGCTTGCACCCCCTCCGCTCACCCACACACACATGCACACGCGCCGCCCCCACCGGCCCCCCACCCCCGCAGAGCTGCGGGCCGGAGCTGGCGGAGGACGACATCCGGCTGGTGCAGAGCGCGGACGGCACGTCGCTGGGGGAGGCTTTCGTGCACTTCCGGGGGCCGCGCGCCAAGGTCCGCCTGGCGCTGGCCAAGGACCGGTCGGTCATGCCGGTGAGATGGGTGTGGTGTGGTGGAGGGTGGGGTGGGAGGGCAGGAGGGAGGCAAAGCTGAGGTGGGTAGGCTTCCGGGGTGGCCCGCCCTGGCCCCCGAGCTGGTGTTCTGCTGCCGGCTGATCCCTCGCTCTCCCCCTCCAAGCCACCCGGTGCAACCGCTGACTGCCACCTGCCTCCGCTCAACCCTCCCCTCGCCCCCCTCGCCCCGCCTGCGCCCCAGGCTGCACAAAGCCCCATCGAGGTGCTGACGGCGGTTGGCGACGACCTCCAACGGCGGCTGCTGTCGGGGTGCCGGCTGGTCTAGCGCGCATGTGGCCACGCCGGGCTGACACTTAGTGTAAACCTGGCACTCGGAGCCCTTGGAGCGGAGGGCAGGGCATCACAGGTTGTGCCGCCAGGACGGCGGTGCAGGGGGAGGTGTGCCCAGGCTGGTGGCTGGTGGTGGTGGGTGTGGGCGGCACATTCAATGCATGACCCCTGCTGCCACGCCACCCATGGAATGGTTGCTGGTGGTGTTGTTTGCGGTGCGGTGCCGGCGCCGGCAGTGCGGCGGCGGCAGCAGCGCTGCATCGCGGCGGGGTCGGGCTTCCCAACACATTGCATGCCGGCGAGTCGAGGACATTCTGCTGTGAGGGAGCGAGACGGGAGTGCTGAGCCAGATGATCGTACCGCAGGGCCGCAAAGGTCAAGAAAAGGACCCTCCCTCTCTAGTCGCAGCAGTGTTGTATTTGGTGTGTTTACTTCCTGCACCGAATGGAATTCCCGCTGGAGCAGCAAGCGGGCGCGCAGGACGGGGCACCCCATTCCGCGCTGCCCTTGGCTTGCAGTTGGGGCACCGCGGATCAGCAGTCTCTGGAGCTGCTACACCTGCAACTGCTGGGCCTGCACCAGTCTGCTGGGGCTATTGCACCGTCAGCGATGCCCAGGTGCGCTCCTGCCGGCCTGGCGCCCCCAGGATTGCATTTGTGATGCTCAGGGCGTCCTATACCAAAAGGCACAAAACACCTGTGGGCGGTCATGCGCAGGACATTGTGCCTTTGCCATCTGATGGCAAGGGCTGTTGCAGCATCTCATGCCTGTGGCAGGAGAGGAGTAGGTTGGTTCTAGACTGAGCGGGTACCTTGCCTCTGCTGCAGGGCGGACACCGCTGTCCCGCCCACAACACCGCCGACAGCACACAGTGCGGCGATGCTGCCCACGCCCCTTTGGAGCTCGCAACAACAGGGCGTGGCCCCCGCTAGCCCACAGCCCTCACCACCGCCATCCGAGGGAACCGGCGTGTTCATACCTTGCTATGCACCCCACGCCCGCCGCTTGCCTCAGGGCAGGCGGCACAAAGCTGCACCGGCGCAGGCCACTCAGCACGGGGCGACCCAATGATGCGTTATGCCCACACATGCCGTCGCTGCTCGACTTGAACTGGAGCAAGGCGGGACATTCAGAGCTTCTGTTGTTGGTTTTACCCACCACCGCCGCCCACGACTGCACTCAGTGTATTTCCTCGCCGCCACTGTTTAGGAAAAACTGTGCACAACACCGCAACGGATGAACGCACGTTGCCTCAAAATTCTTTTCGGATCTTGATTAATAACACTTTCCTGCTCCCAATCGCCGCCCCTGCTGGGCATCCAAGAGATACATGCTGGAACCTGGCTCACCCCCCTGATTCATGACCTGTTGCTCTCCCGCCTCCCCCTGAACAACCCTCCACTGCCTCCCCCTGTGTACGATAAATAACCAGATGCAATCATTCATAGGCCCTGCCGGCCTCCAAAACATTGCTCCCAGCTGTTGTTACAGTGCCTCCACCGCTACTCTGCTGCGAACAGCGCTGCCAGGCTGGCGCCCGCCTCGCCCACCCTGGCAGTCCGGAAGTCCTGCCTCAGCTGGATGACCGCCAGCGCGGCTCGGTGGCTGATGCGCAGGTTGCCATCCACCAGCGCCAGCAGGCTGTCTGGGG